AAGGCTTTCTTGTAAAGATGTGCCAAAATTTGAGTGGGGTCCATCAATTCCATTTCTCCTTCCAACAATTCCGACCACTTTTGGTGGGAATTATAATTTCCAAATTTTTGCCTCTTGGAATTCCATTTCCTATTTATTTTTTACTTTCAAACATGGGAATTATAAAAAATTTGAAAAATTGAATTCTATTTCCTAAAATTTTAACCTATCTGTAAATGCCTTGGTCAAGGATAACATGTGGTTGTTGAGCACTTCTACTATGCTATATAGTATTGGTGCTTTAATGTACAACTTGAAGTTGTACCATAACATTAAATGTATAAGTTTAGATTGTACCATAAAGGAATTTGTATCATTATGTTATGGTACAACTTTACAACTTGAAGTTGTACCATCACATAAAAGTATAAGTTCAAGTTGTACCATAAAAGAATTTGTACAAAAAGTATAGATACAATCTAAAGTTGTGTCATAACGTTAAAGGTATAACTTCAAGTTGTACCATAAAGACAAAAACTTATAGCACCAATAGTATATAGTATTGTAAAATTAATCGTGGTTGTTATCTCCTTTTGCATGGTGATTTTTATATGCAATGATATGTATATTAACAAAAGGAAGTAATGCACAAAGTGTGCATTCCAACAACAACAGAATTACAGAAGTACCAAAAAATGATGCAAATAACAAAGCCAACATGTTGTGCCCAACAATAATAAATAAAATTCATAAAAAAAATAATTAAGTCCCTAAATTTGAGATTTAGCAAAAAAAAAACTCTACCCGAACTCCCAAATCACTCTTTATACACTTACCAAAAAACTAGTTTTTTTTGTAAGAACTAGTTGTTTTTTCAAAAATATAGACTAAGAAACAATATGTAAAACTAAAATAGAAAAATCATGGAAATTAAAGGAGGTGACTAACCATAATAATTAATAGGTATTGGAGAAGGCTCCATGAAGTGAACGTGACAAAGAAAGAACCGAAATGAAATTGAGTCACATGTTTGAGTGAACCTGCAAATGGATTAGAAAATGGTCGATGAATTTCTTTTCGGTACAACAAAAAAGAAACTATTTGACAACTGAAAGTCGCACCTCACAAATTGTCAATTGTGGCGATGTTATTAAGATATGTCAACCACACAAAGACACAAATTTTGGTGGGAATCATTGATATCCATTACGATCTCTCTGAAAAGAGGATTGGAAAAGAGTATGGATCACCATGAACTACGAAGCCAAAAAACAAAATCGAATACCGATAACAATAGAGGCGACAAGATCAGAGCGTAACGTGCCACCAAATAAACCACTATGTTATTAGCATGACCGACAAACTCCACCGAACAACCTTGAAAACCTCGACGCAAAATCTGAATTTCCCGAAGGATGGCTCCAACCTTGGCATCTACCTCGTGCCGAGCATTGAACCTATCGATCAGAACTTTTGCATCTCCAAAAACAACCAAATGATCAAGATGTCCACCAAGCAAGTGCTTTTAAGGGGTCGTTTGGATGTGGTAATGTTTTGTGGGAATTGGGCTAAATTTCAATAGTTTGTCGTAATTGGGTTAAAATACTGTGTTTGGATGGGCTAAGTAAACATGGTAATTTGGGCCTTGTAATTTACCCACATTACCACAGACATGGAAAAGGGAAAACCGGCACCCTCCCCCCTGAATTTCACATTCCCGCGTTTGAGGTTATTTTCCTTCCTATTTTGTCCCTAATAATTTATTGTAAACCCGAAATTGCCCTAGTTGTGTCTTCGTCATATGAGAACCCCAATCTACTTTACAGATTCCTTTCTCTTCACCTGTTTTTTTTTTTTTTTGCTTCTCTCTCCGACTGAAATCGAGAAACCAAGGCGCAGGTAATCGGAGTGGTGGGTGATCTTGGCTGTGACTTTTCTGGATTCACGGCGCCAACGACCAACCGAAGAAGAAGGAGTGGTTGCCCGTATCAACCAGGTAACTGGTCTTCTCTTTGGGAGCATAGGTTTCTACTGATTATGGGTAAGAAGTTGGGGTTTTTAGCGCTTAAAATTGGGGGGTTTTGTGTTCGTGCTATGTCCATGGAATTTTTTGTGGAATTATTAATTACTACTTACGCAAAGGGTTTTTTTGTTCTTGCCGTGTCCATGGATTCTTGTGGGGTTATTGATGTTTACTTATGGAAAAGGGTTTTTTTGTTCTTGCTGTGTCCATGGCTTGTTGTGGGTTTATTGATTACTACTTATGCAAAGTATTTCTCCTGCATCCTAGCGTGACACGCTCTTCAACCGGTTTAAGAACAAAAAGCATAAGAAGTTCAGAATGTCAAGACTGTCAATTATGAACCCAACGCGTAGGCGACAGGTTGTTGAAGCAGTTGGATCGTTCATCAACCTTCTAATAATTTACGTCAGCCTAGGAATGAAACTATCTCAGCTGCTTCAAGCGAGGAGCTTAAATCGTAGACTTGCTAGGCAGCCAATGGATAGCTACACTGTGAGGCATTACGATAGGCAAAGACACCTTGATCGGCGGATAAGAAGGAATGATACTATATGCTTTTCTCGGGTTAGCATGGATGTGGCTTTATTCAATAGGTTTTGCGAGATTCTTGTTAATGAGGGTCGGTTGAGAAGAACTAGGGACGTAGATGTAGATGAAATGGTATATACTTTTCTGTGTACGATTTCACACAACGAGAAAAACAGAACATTGGCCATCAACTTGCTTCGATCTGGAGAGACCATATCAAGATCAATCCACCGGGTTTTGAGGGCTATCATTAGACTCAACAACCTCTTGATGAAGAAGCCCGTTCCCATTGATGTAAACTGCAACGACTCTAGATGGAAACACTTTAAGGTTAAAAATTGTAAAGTTTTTAATTGTTAAGCTTTTCCAGTTGAGTGCTTCAGGTTATAGATGTTTACAACTAATTCATATGAGTTAATTTTTTTTTTTATGTTTTCGTAGAATTGTCTCGGTGCTTTAGATGGAACTCATGTGAATGTACGCCCTAGGAGGGAGCATCAAGCTAGGTTCCGGGATAGAAACAGACATCTTTCAATGAATGTGCTTGCTGTTTGCACTCCTAATTTGGAGTTCATTTATTGCTTGTCGGGTTGGGAGGGTTCGGCCCATGATTCAAGGGTTCTTCGAGATGCTCTTACTAGGCCTAATGGCTTTAGGGTGGCTGAAGGTAAAATCCAGTAATATTTCAAAATCACAAGATATTTGGCTGAAGGTAAAATTAAACTCATAAGTGTTGTCCATTTGATGAAGGGTGTTACTATCTGTGTGATGGTGGATACGGGAATAGTACTGGGTTCTTACCTCCCTATCGTGGGCAGAAGTACCATCTTAAAGAGTGGGGACCGAGAAGGCCATCTATAGCTGAAGAGTATTATAACATGAAGCATGCATCGGCTAGGAATGTTGTAGAACGCATTTTTGGAATCTTAAAAATGCGTTGGGCTATTCTTAGAGACTCTAGCTGGTTCTCTCCTAGTGATATGGCAAGAATTGTAGTTGCTTGCACCATAATTCACAACTTCATCAAGAAGGAGCGAGGAGCTGACAGATTTGAGAGGGAGTACCAAGATGTTGAGCAAGTTGACGAAGAACAATATGATCCGGATGAGGTTGAGACCATTGCTGCCGATGACGTTCATTCTTGTCCTGCTTGGACTCGTTTCAGAGATGATTTAGCGAAGGAAATGTGGGAAAAGTGGCCTTACAAGCCAGTTGTTCCAACAGTACCCTCTGTTTGATTCTGCTTTATGAAAAAATGAATAGCAGAAGCATGTAGTAGTTGCTTGCTATCTTTGTATGTTTTTGCTGTTAAGTGGATGTATGAACATGTATGCTTCATAGTGAAGCTGTTACCAAAGCAACCTGTATGCTTTGTAGACATCTAAACAACATGTATGTATGTATTGGATGTTAGTATCATATTAGAAGATCAAGTTGTTGTCTAGTTTGCAAAGAGATGTTTCTCTTTTTGTTCATCTGTCATTGCAAAGCACTTACAGTGACAGTCTTTGCAAACACATGGCAACACCTTTTGTAAAGCTTATCTTCAGCTTATTTTTGTAAAGTGCAAACTCTTATGTAGAATGTTGTTGTTGTGTACTGTTATAGATTGTAGAAATTCTAGAACACAGGTCATCTAATTAAACAGGTAGCTACTAATAATGTTGTTGATGTGCTGCTCTTGCTTATGTGTTGCTGTTGTTTTTTATGTGTTGTTGCTATTGTGTGTGATGTGATGCTGCGGTTGCTGCTCTGTTGCTACTACACACTGCTACTCTACTGCTGCTACAGCTGATACTACTATTGTTGTTGCGGTGATGCTGCTTCTGTTATGCTAATGTGTTGTGTTGATTTATTGTGTTTTTTTGTTGTTGTTGAAAGGTTGTGAGAGTTCAGTTAGGAGAATTATAGTTTGCTAGTAGTGATAGCTAAATTGTAGGAGTTGACAACCGAGTTTGAGAGCACTTGTTGTGCTTTGTACTTCAACTCTCTTATTAATTCAATAAAAACTTGACAGGCTCTTTACAATTTGAGGATTGAATATGAGAATTGGTGATTGGAGATTTCCCTATAAGCTTATTCGTGTGTGTTAGTTATAGGCAAATTTCTAATGATCATGATAATGGCAAACTCAAATAGAAAGGGGTAAATTTGTATTTTAACCGAATACCACACCATCAATTTCCACATTCTTTAACCCATCCCAAACATGGAATTTTGGACAATTTCCACATGACAATTACTAGGTTTTCTATAACATGGAAATTAAGGCCAATTCCCACATTTTTAGATTTCCACATCCAAACGACCCCTAAGACTTATAGCAGAACTGTGTTCATGAATGGTACTTAGGTACCGTATCACCTGCCCATGTTATTAAGGGCCCTAGCCAGATTGGATAGTCATTGAAGCACTCATCACGTTTTTTAATCATCACAAGTTGCTAAACCCTTGTTATGAATGAACAATTGTTCACTAAAAGATCCATTTCCATGAATAGTGATTAAATGTTCGACCTTAGTTGATTCAAGAACATGGCAATCACTCATCATGTTACTCTCTCATTCTTCCCTCAATTTACCAAACATAGCCAAGGTAATTCGAAGGCAACTTTGAGATTGGAAGAAAAAAAATCAATGTAGGGCCAAGAACAAGTTCCACGGTACCAATTTGTAGATCCAAAAAAAATGGAAATTCTGAGTTTTCCATTGTACTTTCTAACCTGGTTAGGACATGATCATGTACAACCTCCTTCCTTCTCCCTCTTTCTGCTACATTAGCTCTCTCTCTCTCTCTCCCCCCTCATCTCTTATATACACGTGGAAAGGGTTAGGTTTTGATTAGTTTAGATGAGAAACCCTAACATGCAGCCCATTTGGGGCTTCAACTCTTGGAAACTTCATTAGTGTGTCCCCTCCAACTTCTTCCCACCTGCAAAAGTTTGGAAAACCCTCAAGTAAGCAAAAGATGGTTTCTTTTGGAGAGGAATATATATATTCAAATGTGGCTATGATAGGATATGGGTCTTCACTTTTCCTATTACCTGTATCTAGTCACAAAGTAGTGTAGAAATGTTGAGATTTCTGCTATGCCTAGTTCCTTCCCTGGGCACTGCCTTGTACCCCCTCCAAATATGAAGAGATAGTTCTGAGATTCCAAACTCTTATCCTGCCAAATTTACCAAAGATAAAAAAAGATTATTAGCAAATGAAAAGAACCCTTTTGGGAGACAATAATAAAGATTGAATCTTTACTGGTTTTGCAAGCATACCAGCCATCTCCATGGGTTGAAGGAAAATGGGTCAGGATATAAGCATGGATCATAGTTCATCTCTCTTGTATAGACATAGATTCTCCACCCTTTTGGGATCACAAATCCTGATGCAGCAAAGATAACATACAAAAGAGATAAGAAACCAGTAACATGCAAGAGAAGAAGAGAGTTGGCAATTCAATAATGTGAAGAAGAGAGTAGGCCTTCCCCACTCCCATTATTAACCAAGTTATGACCCACTACTGAATGGCTTGTAGTTTCTCTGAGTTACAAGCAAAATGGCCAATAATACACAAGAGAAAGGAAAAAGGGAAGGGGACAAAAGGGAGTGAAGAATGATCTAATCATCTTAAACTTGAGATTCTTTCACTTGTTTTAAGATGCCCCCTTTTCCAAGTAATTTTAACCAACAGTTTGTGAGGTGAGGGGGGCACCAAATGGAATGTCCTAGCTGGATCAGTAGGTGTGCTATTCAAATCATAATAGGGCAACCAAGGTCCACCATGGAAAAAGAGATGTTGATCTTGATTTCCCCCATGGGCAGTTATCTTTTGGGTTTATTCTTTTTCCCCTCTTTCTCTTTTGCACAGTTGTACAATTAGCTGTTTAACTTTATCTCCAAATCAGCCCCCTCCCCCCTTCTTGAGCCTCTCCATACACCAAAAAAGCAAATAGAATCTAAAGTTGACATTACACTTGAATAGTAGTAGCTCACCATTTATTTCCATTTCTTGAGTTGTCTTCCTTAATACCCCATTAACTATTGTAGCCAACCTTGAGGTCTCAAATATCACCTGGAAAAAAGTAGATGACAGAGTAACATATGGCTCAGCACATCATTCCTCAACAGCTTGAATCTCATACTTCGTAAAAGATGTAAGAATCAGAAGCTTCTCTTACCGCCCGGGTAAAACGCATCGACTTAAGGTCATCCATGTCAAGTGGATCCTCTGGCTTCTTTCTAGCTCTAATTGCTAGATGCTCTTCCTGCACATATACATTCAATAACCAAAATCCATCAGTAAAAAGGAAATGTGACTTGAGTTTATCTCTTTTTCATTTAAGTGTTTCTTTTGAGGGGACTTACTCTAAGTTGCTGAAGAACTTTAGGATGATCATGGAGATACTTAATAGCCATCATCGAAGTAGTCGAGACCGTTTCATACCCCGAGTACAAGATCGTGATAACCTGATCGATAATCTCGTCATCACTCAACTTGTACCTATTGCTCTCTTCAGTGTTCATCAAGTAACCAAGCATGTCCAAGTGAGACTCCTTGGATTCCTTCCTCTTCACTATCAGCTGCCTGAGAATGCTCACGATGCTCTTCCTAGCCTGGAACCCGCGTCGATAGCTGGTTCCAGGAACGTCGATAGGGAGCGACAACGTGCCCAAAACAAGCTTGAAGAACTCGGGCATGAACGCCCCCGAGATCGACCCAGATTCGGGCCCAACTATCTGCTTAAGTGAGGAAAGCAATGCCATCTCCTTGGTTTTCAGCTGAATGTCAATGATTTGTGAATCCCAATTGCAGAGATGGGTTCTTATGAAATGGTCAATTGTCGGCAGCAAGTGGCGCCTGATCATGGTGGGACTAATTAGGGAAAGTAGAGCACCCCTCATGTACTTGTGTGTGGAGCCATGAACCGCTGCAATGTTGCATTTCCCCAAGATGTCAAGCATCGACTGTGGGTAACCTGGAACCAACCCTTTCCCTTCATTCATCAGTATGTACCTGTTCACATCTGGATCCATCGATACCACTGTCGGGCAGCCTAGAATGTGGGACTTGAAAAAACTCCCATACCTGTTGAAACAGAACACCCCCAAATCAAAAACCCATCTTCCCAAAATGCCAACTTTATCATACTTTATACAGAAAATGAAAGAAAACAGAACAGAGAAATGCTAGGTTATTAGCATTACAACCAATACTAGCACTAATCTGTTACCACACATTATGACAGCTAACAATAAAGGAGGAAAAGGGTAAGAAACCATTTTAACTAATTGACAACTGAAACAAACAAAAGGTAATCACTTGACAAGCGATTTTGGTGTCTCCCCTGTTTTCCAATCTAAGCAAATAGGAGATTGGAAACATGGTGGCAACAGAAAAGGACAAAAAAAAGCTGAAATGGGGAAGGATGAAGATTTTAAGGACCTTGCTCGTTGGTTCTTCATGAAGTTAGGGCCTTGCTTGAGGAACTCGGTGGTTTCTCCAAAAATGGGCCAACCCATGGTGCCAGGGGGCAAACCCTTCTTCTTGCTGAACCTGACCTCATTCCACCTCAACAGTAGAGCAGAGGATAAACAGAGGACGAGCAACAGAAGAACCAGAACCGCCACAAAGAGAACCGCCATTGATGATAATCTTTTGCAAAGGTGAGAATGGGAATGGAGGGAAGATAAATGAAGATGTGTATAAGTAAGAAGAAGGAAAGCCGCACGCCCCACACCTCCCCAGAAAGCAACAACAGAAGGAGGGGAAAGGGAGGTTGGGAAGTGGGGATATGGGCTGCTGCTCTGTTGTTGTTGCTCTGTAGGCTGTAGCTGTGAGTCTATGGACAGAGGCTTGCAGAAGTGAGCACATATATAGGCTTTTTTCTTGCATAAATGTCGAAGAGAGAGAGGGAGAGGGGGGAAAATGGCCAAATCATGCACCCTCCGGTCTAGCGAAAGGACCCTGCCTCTATTGCCTTTGGGTAAATAACATGGTCCATCAAAATCGTATCGTGCAAGCGGTTCAACCACGAAATACTAGTATCAGAAGCTAAATAGGTAGGCGATATTTAACGGTCTAACAGTTGAATTATGGTTCAACCACGGTTTTATTATAAAATATCATATCGCTAACTTTTTCGATACGATATCGAGTACGGTTTCATGGACCATGGTAAATAAAGGGGTAACTATCCAAAATGTAAGATAATTTTTCCATAAATAATGGCAAAGTATATTTTCATACTCACAACTTTCAAGTTTGTCACAATATTCGAAATACACAAAATAGTCTAAATTTTGATGATTGTTTGACAAATTTAGGTATTTCCGATACAAACTTTAGCGGTGTAGAGATTTCACCAGTTAGGTTAACTGCACGTTGACTAGGATACCAAATGAATGCACATGTCAGTGACAACCAGTCTCACTTGCCACGTAGATGTCACGTCATAATTTACTTTAAAAATATTTTAGAAAAAATACACTTCCATAGCCACAACTTCGCGTTTGTGACAGTTATAGCCACAACTTTTGAAATACACGAAATAGCCATAATTTTGAAGGTCGTTTCACAAATCTAGTCATTTCCGTTACAAACTTTTGAAATATACAAAGCAGTCGTGACCCTGTCCTCGATTTCTTCTCGAGACTTTGTTTGAGAGGGAAGGCGGGAACTCGGGCCAATTAACTGCGACGAATCGGGATTCACCGAAAACAAGAATAATTGAGTCGTGACGGTTTTGAGGAATTAGAAGGCAAATGCACTATAAGCAACCATGTTCTTCCTTCCTGACCAATAAGTCTCTGTCGCCACCAAAGACACCGTCTCCTCTATCATCGCTTCGTCGATGCCTTCTTCTTCGTTGTCGTCGTCGAGCTCCTTCCTAACAACCTTCTTGTCCTCTTTCTCGTCCTTTTTCTGTGACTACGCTAAACTACCGAGGCCTTCTTCTTAGTCCAGCGATGGGGATCTAAATCGGCAAATTGAGAAATAAGGTCTTCTTCTCCAGTCATATTGTTAAGTGACTCCGTTAAAGGGATGAACGGAAGTGGCTATTTTGTGTATTTCGGAAGTTGTGACTATGACTGTCACAAACATGAATGTTGTGGTGTATTTTGCTTCTTTTTTTTTTTTGGTTAGTTTACGTGGATTGGTGGGACGAAATATCGTCAACTCAGCATTTTCGTCATTCTATTCATACGATGAAGCGACATTGTTAAAGAGATGTGAATGTAAAAGTTGTGGCTATGAAAATGTAGTTCGCCTAAAATAATCAAATAGTTTAGCTTTTTTAAATGGGAGGGTAGTTGTGATAGTAGAGAGTCAAAACATTACTTTACATTGTTGTATTTGGGAATACATGTGTCATATTTGACTATTTGTGGTGATAAATTTGTAAATGTTTTTATCACCACCTTCTAACAATTATAAGCTGCATGTTTGGGAATCAAAGTTGTCAACCCGCAAGTTGACCTGGACCCGGTCGAGCTAGTGGGTCAAGGGTTAATGGGTCAACCGTTTTAGCCCGGTTTGGCCTGGAAATATGGAAAAAGTCATTATATTGTACCTATCCTCATAAATTATATCAAATCTTATCTAACATATGAGTTATAACATATAATATTACAGCAAAATAACATATCGTATATAGATCCAACATATAGTGAAAATTCACACACACTTATATAACATAAATATTCAAATGTTCAACTTAGCATTTCAAAAATTAAGCTAGGCGAAAAGAAAAATCGGAAAATAGGCGCATTTCGCAAACTAATGAAAAAAATGACACAATTTGACCTCCAACCCGGTACCTTGTAGCGGTCGGCCCGGCGGGTACGTGCGGCCCATTTTTCTCACCGGGTCAGGATCAAAGTGGGTCGACCCGCGGGTTGACAACTTTGTTGGGAATCCAATGATGTAACAACGTTATCGCATTTAACGTAACAATATGTTTGATTAACCAACTTTATCTCCAACATAGTCCTTTTTTTTCCTTTTATTTATGAGTTCATGAATCCTCAATGTAGTTTTCACTAATTTGGAGGTGGTGAAGTTTGAGGGTAAGTATAATAAGACATATGTCTAACCCTAATTGGTGAAACATTGTACAAAGAAGGTTGCATAAATGATATATAGGGGTAAACATAGGGGTAACCATTTACCCCATTGGGGTGAAAGAATAAATTTTGTTTTAGCATACTTAGATAATAATGACGATGATTGTCTAATAATTAGTATTAGACTATTGGACATAATTTTGTATTATGAATGTTATTTTCCTCACTTTACTAAGATGTGAGTTACACATTTTTAATATGTAAAATTTTATGTTCTTTTAAGTTGTTCGGCTTTGGTTGTATTCACACATCTACATTCTTCGTTTTAATTCTCGATCTTACCACAACACATACATGCAGTGGCGTAGCTATAATTTTGCATAAGGGGGGTGCCAATTTAAAAAAAAAAACTTTGTTAATTTCACTTTCCCTAAATCTGAAACTAGGCTTAAAATGGTTTGTCGGGAGAAATTGTTGTGACAGTACTGGTGTAGTCGAGTTAGAGTTACATGTAGGTGCACATGATGAATTATCTTTATGCCCTTGAACATTTGGAGTTGTTTTGACCATTTTATCAAGATTTCTCTATGGTAAAAGCTACATATTTAAAAAAGTGGAGTAACCAACAAATTAATTGAAAAAACTCAATTATATTGGGCACAATAACAGTAAGAAGCCACAGTGGCAATCTCTACCTACTTGTTGGGCGGTGATAATGGAAAATTGGTCAATTGGGACTGGTGTGATGCTACCTATAGGTTGCCTTTGTAGTGGAAGCCTGGAAGAGAATTTGATTACTAGATTGGTTTGTTATCCTTTCCATACTTTTTGAATAAACGTGTTTGTTTTAATATTATCTTGTGATTCAGATTATTTGCGAATGAATTAATGTCGAATCGCAAATCAACCAGCCACGTGCCCACCCCTTCCATCATCAACCACCCATTTTGGAAATCGACATACCAGCCACTCTACAGCTGAGCATGAAGCACCGCATGCTTCCGTCCGACTTCTCAAATGTGAAACGTGGCCATCCTTTGCTTCCTTGTTTTGTTTTGGTTTTAAAGCTTTTCCTTGTGTGTTTTGTTTGTATGTCCTGTTTGGAACTTCAAAATTGGCACGACAAGTGCATATTTAGGGCTTATCCTTCACACGAGGGGAAGCTATCCGTACAGCTCTGTGTACTTTGCGTTGTATCACAGGTCTTATCGATTTGGTTAGAATGGTGTTTCATTACGAACATTGATTGTAATGAGACGATAGGACGTGGCTAAATAGACAGATTGTTTTGGTTTCTAGTACTATATGCATAGGATCTTATGTTATTTATCTATATGTACCTGTAAACAAAAACTTAGTTGTCGAGACCGGGCAGTTTCATTAGTACGATAGTGTCTGCTTAGATCAAGTCTGCACGGTTTTACTATTGGGTTTCTTCCTAAAAAGCCTCGTACTAACGAGCTGGGTAGACATTTATATACAAGGGTTTCTTCCCTTGTATTACTGATGCGGTACTTGGATTGTTCCATAACATTAGCACTTGAAGTTTTATACAGGTATATGATCAAAGGCTACCCACATTATGTAAGAAAATGTAATTAATTCATCTTAATAGTTTGACCATTAAAATGCGAATCTTTCTTGATATCGGCATATGATTGAGTAGATATCCGAAGATTAATTTTTCAGTCCAGTGATTATAGTGTCACACTTTGAATTTTTTAAAACTATTGAATTTTTTTTTAAAAAGAACTATAATTTTTCTAATTGAATATGAGCCATATCATTTTCTTCTAGTAAGCGTGAGAATGTATTTAATATTGATCACTTTGATACCAATAATCGAATTCCAAGTTTTGGTTTCTCTACTCTGACTTTTCTCGAGATATGAGTGATGCATGGGGTTGTCGTCTTCATTAGGTTAGGGGGCTATGTGAAGAGGAAACGAAGAAGAAAGGATCCATGGAGGGATCCTAGGAAAGGGACGGGACATAATAAGAGCACGAAATCTGCAAATTTCACTCATTTTCAGAAGTGGGCAAACTTTTTTCGTTCAGCCGTCGTTTTCAGAAAATTTAAGCCTAAGGGCATTGATTAGGGTTTGGTTGATGCCTTGATGGGGTAACAGGGGGGTGTAAGGCTATAGGAGGATGCCGTTGATCGTTGGATCGATATCTTCTTTCATATCAATCGTTGGTTTGTTGTGGATCGAACAACAAAGCCTTTACGTTTGAGGTTTTGAATGAAAATGAGAAGGAAAATGGGTCAATTTGTTGTTTGGTTAACTTTTTTATAAGAGATAGGTCGATCTGCCTCAAATGGCAAATATACTCTCGTGAGTCGTGTCTCCTGTATCTCTACTTTTGTAGTCAACGAACCTCAATGTGTCATAAACCAGTTGGTCCCCAATAACTCGAGGTGTTGGGAGAAGGTTATGATGGATCTTATACAGACCCATGTATGATACTTAACCACTTCCTTACACACTGTGTCAATGGTTTCCTTTTTTTTCTTACAAATAAATACAGGACAGGTCTTGACCTATCTCTTTGGTCCAATTATCTCAAAATAAATCTATTGGGACACATTGCCATGTGTTTGTAATACATAATGGATGCATCAAATTGGTTCGAGACGATATAAATTGTTTCGTTTTGCATCAATTTGAATTGATAGAAAAAAAGGAGAAAGTATTTTAGAAAAAGCAACGTACGCCCAAATGATCCCTAAGATAAGATCAACCATATGATTAATATGCACTCTCTTAACGAGTTATTTTTCTTACTACG